GCCAGGGATAGGCACTCCTGGACCAAATGATCTCCAGGTGCCTCTGAGAGAGGCAGCCCCTGAGTGATGCTGGTCTTCAGTTTCCCTAAGGACCTGAAAATGAGTTTCTTCATCCAGTCCATGCAGGGATGACCCTGCATACCCCACACTCTTGAACTCTACATGTCTGATCCTCAAGTTTGCTTTCCTCTGCACTAAGGGGCTAGGGCAATGAGGTCGTTGTCACTCCTATCTGTCCACATGAATGGCTGCTCAGTGAAAGAGGAAGTTGAAGGGCATCTGGACCTCACATTGACACTGTCAGCCTTCGGTTCCTGAGGAATTCCTGAGGCTTATGCTCCCCCTGATGCAAAATGATTTTGCTATCAACTGATCCCAGTATTTCATCAAGCTCTTAGCACCAAGCAGTCATTCCAGGGCAAGGAAAGGGATTTGAGGGATTCTATAACTGTCCCCTGAGATGTGCTGTCTATTCTAGATAGACTACCCCAGAAACTCAAGGAGAAGCTCCAACAGTGTCCAATGGACCCCCCTTCTCTGAAGGCCAATCTCCCAAGCTGGAAAAGGGCACGTGCTTACTCACTAGATCCAGCTCTTCCACTGACGAAGTTCCTGTCATGAGCTGACACGGCACCACCTACTAACTGCCTGTCTATTCCAGTGAAATATCCTGCTATCAATACACCCATTTTACAGATGAGGAAACCAAGGAATATAAACTGCCTTGATTCAAATCACACTGCAGGTAACTGGCAATAGAAATCCCAAGACTGGTCTGCCTGATAATTTGGCATGGAAAGACAGGTCTGCTGGTTCAAATCCAGAATGTTCTTTCACCTGTAGGTATATGGTCAGTCACAGCAATGCAGCATTTGGGCTCTGCCCACCTGATGTGCTGTGGGGCTTCGGGCTAAGTCACTTCGACTCTCTGAGACTTATTTCCTTGACGTAAAAAGGAGCTGACGATACCCACCTCCCTGCATGAGCTGAGGAAGAATTATGCAAGCAGACAGGTCCTGGCACCTTGAAAGATTCAGTTTCCTTCCTGCTTGTAAGTGTCCTTACTTAGAAAGCCAAGACTGTACAACAGTCTTGTTGTACATGTACAACAAGAAAATCATGTACAACAATTTGAGGGAAGTTTCCTGAGTTCTTGCTGTCCACCAAGACCTGTTCTAAGTACTTTTCACATATGAGCTCACACAATGAGATAGGTCCTCAAACTAGCCTCACCTTGTCAGAGAGGAGGCTGAAGCCCAGAGCAGTCAACTAGCTTGCCAAGGTCACACAGCCAATTAGGGACAGGGAACCTGGCGACTAAAACTGTCTTCTGATCACTCTAGACCCCAGGTGTGACTGTAAATTTTGGGGGAAGAACATGATAATATATGGATGCCTTGAAATCTAGACTTCCATTTTACCAAACTCATGAAGTTGGGCAAATGGAAACACTCATTTTGGGGGACTGGATGGGAAATGGGCAGTGAGGGGTACAGAAGGGATGGATGAAAAGAGACTCTTTGGATTGGCCCGCAAACTCAACAGTCCAACATATAGAACAAAAGAAATGAACCTGGCAAGCAGAGGTGCTGGGTGGGACTCAAGTAAAACTTCTCTGAGCAGGGCTTCTGGATAGCTAAGGGGTGAGGCTGGGGGCACAGGCACACTTGGGGGGTCCACATTTCACTTATCTAACAGGTCAGGAGAAACTTTAACAAGATCAACTGCTGCTTTTCTTTTTCTTCTTTTTAATTTCAAACTAAAGGGACATGGGGGGGGGCGGGGTCATTTGGGAAAGAGAGGCAAGATTCTGGATCCTCCTGGTGTGATACAAAAGTAAAGGGATGTGTCAGAAAGTACCTCCCCCCCCCCACCTCTGGACTTGAAAGGAAGCCCAGATTACTGGGCAGGAAAGCTGAGGCTGTGCTGGCTGGTGGGCCGGGTGAGAGGTGATGGTGCTCATTAGACACCTTCTCTCAGCAGTGTCGGAGCCAAGCCTGAAGAGGGGACGCCCAGGAATAAACCCTAGTTCCTGCCATTGAGGGGCCGTGTCATCCAGCACCCACCCCTCCCCTTTCTGTGCCTCTGTGTCCCAATTCAGCCAGAGAAAACTGACCCTGGTAAGCTCTGAGGACCCCTTTGACAATAGCCTTGAAGGACTCTTCCATCCTAAGACCACCCATCCCTGACGGGACGTGGAGGATCCTGCACACCAGTACTTTTCAACTTTGGCTTTGTTTTTTGCCTGCATAAGCCTGTCCTGTGTGTACGTGTGTGTGCGTGTGTGCAGATCCACCCCCCTTCCCTTTCAGAAAAATAAAAGGCAAGTTTTCTGAGCTTCAGAAGCAAACTGCTCCTCCTCGCCTTCCCTCTGCCTCTTCCAGCGCCTGTCTGAACCGGTGTCAGTGAAGTTTGAACCGGGGCAGAAATAGCATCCCGGGTGGATCTGGGAGCACAGCCCGCCTACCAGGAGCAGCAAGGCCTGCCTCTGCCAGACGACAGACCCGGTTAACAGCACCGTAAAATTAGACCTTGACGAAACCCAATTGAATCCTGCAGCAAAGAGTGATGTAAGGCGGCCTGGCCTGACAGCCTGAAATAGCAGCGCGGTCCCTGCTGAGCGGTGCCTGCTGTCTCCAGATAGGTGACCAGGGATTCCTGCGAAAGTGGCTACGCCCAGGCAGAGGAAGTCAGCAGAGGTCAGGCAGCGAATGGGCACCCGAGGTCGCAGCGGGAAAGACGTGGCCTGGCACCGGCATGCCCGCTGCCCACCTTGGCCCTGCTGCTCCCAGCCCCGACTTACACGAAGGAAGGAGCTGAAAAAGTGCTTCGGCAAAGAACCTCTGTTTGTTTGCTTTTTAATTCAAGGAGAAGCAGGTTCTTTTTAGTCCAACAGCCTGTACGGTGTGGAGGATACGAGAGAGTGAGTCTTTTCTGGCTGAGGGCCAGGTGTTTACACACCGCCAAATTTGGCTCAGACTCAACTAGGGGAGGGAAAAAAATCCACCCGAAACCTCCGGAGAAAAGCTCCTGGCTTTCTGGGGCTACACGACAGCAGTGCTTTTTGCTTTTTGCTTTCTTTCTTTCTTTCGTCTTCTTCTTCTTCTTCTTCTTCTTCTTTTTTTTTTGTTTTGAGTGGAATGTTATTTCCACACATAAAATGGACCAGGCATTTTATACAAGCAATAATAACCTTACGTCCCCCGTCCAATTAAAGTATTTTACTGCACGATCTTTGTGTGTGAGTGAATGAGAGTGCTCAGCAGAAGGCGTGTGAAGAGAGGCTCCTTGTCTGAATTACAGATATTTATAAAGCAGGCTCCCGAGGAACCCGAGGTGTTCTATATATACAGATTTCTTTTTTTAAATGTATCTGCTACCTTTTCATTGACAATACCTATATAACCCTGGGCTCTCCTCTCTGGAGGGGAAGGCTTCCGAATCACCGCATGACAGGTAAACACCAGGAATAATCAGAGCTATTCATTTTTTTATCATCGGGACCCAGCAGGCTCTGAGCTGGTCATATGTTCCGAAAGAGAAGTAAACATAACACAACCCTGAATATCACCATCATCATCACTATTATGAATAACCTCTCTCCTCTCCTCTATACTATACACCCCCTCCCTGGCCCCCGTGTCTAGGGCTTGGGGGCTCAAAGCCAAGGAGCTCAGTTTCCCTCTCCTTCCTGGGGAAAAAAAAAAGAGAAAAAAATAGCATATGATGACGTCAGAGGTGGGGGAAAGTCACTTTCTTGCTCTGGGCAGCGGCAGCGGGAGAGAGGGAGCTTTGAAGGCATATTCTTGTAGACCAGCGGAGTTTGGTTCCCCCGAAATGGACTTCATGTAAATAGGGTAGAGTCAGCACAGTGTTTACGAAAGTCCACGCCAAGAGAGAAAGAAGCAGGACTGGCGGAAGAGCTCAGAGCTTTCCCTTCTAAGAAAGTGTGTGTGTAAGGGGGTGGGATCGCAAAACGCCTCCACACGTTCCCTGGCTGCTTTGAAGGGGGAACCCCTTCTCACTTTAAGACGTCCTAGGAGATGGCAAGACTGTTTGCACAGGAAGGGAATCTCCCGGGCAGAAGAGGCAAAACTTTTCCTTCTCTCCTCCAGCTCTGTCCCCCATCCGCCCCCCAATTTTATTAAAGGCATTGCCGCAGATTCATTTAGAGAGGGAAAAATGGATGTTGGAGCATTTCTAAGGTTTGCAGCCCTCGCAAAGTGTCCGGTTTCACTACGGGCTTTGCTGTGGAACTGCGAAGGGGAGAGGGAGGGAGGGTGAGGAGGGAGAACTCAAATTCATTACGGGCTCATAAAAGTCCCAAATGAGAAAAGCGCCCCGTTCTCAGCCGAGCAGGGGCAAGACTGGCGGGGTGTGCAAGAGAACGCTCTCGCCCCTGCCCTGTGTGACTTGCAACGTGGGCTTTAAAAGCAAAGACTTGGGATGGTCGGGGGCGCGGAGGGATTGAAGGGGGTGAATCCCAGAGGCAGGCGCCAAGCAGAGAGCAACTTTGGGGCACTTGGAGGACTTCTAAGTCTTGGCGATCACAACAACCTGTCTTTGCAGCCTTTCAGGGTAAAGGGGCCAAGGGAAGGGGGTTCACCTCCATTAAAGTCAAAGAAATCAACAGCCCCCCTCCCCCGGCTCTTTTCACATGCCTCTCAATTGGGTCACCCTCGCCTCCATCCCAAACGGAGGCGGACGTCTCACCATCCCCAGCACCGTTTGCGTGCACGAGGTTTCCCCAGGGACCGGCTCTCAGCGCCTGCAAGTCCCGGGAGGCCAGGCGCTCTCCCTGCGCTCCCGCCTGGGGGGCTAAGCGGCGACCCCTTCCCAGCGCGCCCATTCCGCAGATGGGGCAAAGCGAGGCTCAGAGATCCCCTGGGTGCCGGGGCGCTTCCCGCGCCAACACACCCGCAAGCCCCCGACCCGCCCGCACCCGCGCGCCCCTGGGGCCGCGGGGACCGCGCGCCACCCGCCGCGGCGCCCTCGCCTACCTGTGATCACCGCTGGAGACCTCTGGCCCCCCTCAGCTCGCAGCCACACTTGCAGCGTGAACGCGTCCCGGGGCAGCTCCAGGTCGGCCCGGAGGCGCAGCTGCTCGCCTCGCCCGCTGAAATAGAGCGCCCGGCTCGGCGGGCTCGGCTCCTCCGCGGCGCCCCTCGCCTCCCGCTGCTGCCGCCGCCGGGGGACGCGCACGGCTTCCCAGGCACCGCCCGGCGGCGGCGGCGGCGAGGCGCGGCGGCCGCGGGCCGCCCGGGTGGCGCAGGTGGCCGGGCCGGCGGCGGGGCGCGGGGGGCGGCCGGCCCGCGGGTCTCTCCGGGCCCGGCGGGGGCGCTCGGCCAGCCCGCAGCCCAGCGCGGCGCTCAGCAGCCCCAGGCGCAGCACCCAACTCCAGAGCCGCATGTCCGACGGTCCCCCCCGCCCCCCCTTCGCCCCTGCACCGCCGCCCGGAGCTGCCAGCTTTGGGAGCCTCAGCGCCTCGACTTTCTTCGCTTCTTCACCCTTCTTGGGCGAGCCCCCCCTTCCACTTGCTTTTTTCTTTTCCTTCTCGCTTTCCTCCTCAAGGTGTGCTCCACTCCCCCCACCTTTGAAAAATACAGCCCAATTCCTCCTGCTTGGCAATTAATTTCTCTCCCCGCTCCTTTATCTGCCTTATTTCCCCCCCCCCCTAACAGCTGGTTGCCTTCCTCCTTGTTTTATTTCATTTTATTTTATATGAATTCTCGTTCTTAAAAAAAAAAGCTCCTCTAAGACACCGATCCGCTGAATTCCCTCCCCCCCAAAGATGCTCTAATTTATTTATTTTTTGCGTCCTTTATAACACAAGCCACAGCCCCCTTTCCCCCCCCAAAGTCCCCCCTCCCCTCCCTCCTTCTTCACAAAATGAAAGGAAAGAGGGGGAAAAATCCCTCAGAAGATGAGTAAACAAGCGTATGCTAATCTGCTCCCGAGCGCTCCACCTTCCCAATTGAATGAGTCCCTGTTAAAACTGCGGGGATCATGACTAATCAATCAGTTTGGAGAGGCCGAGCTACCCAGCCTGCCTCCACTTTGCCGTTTGCCTCCTTTTCCTTCGCTCCGCTCCTCCACCCCTCCTTTTCCCTTTTTTTTTTTTTTTTTCGGAAGACAATCTTAAAGTAACAATTTAATGAAATTCTGTACACACCCCCTTACGGTCCTCCCAGCTCCCCTCATGCCTGCTCAAAACACACATTCCTGTTTTTGTTTTGTTTGCCTATTTTCTCCTCCACCCCCTCTCCCCTTATATTAATAATAATAATAATATTACTAATGATAATATTGTTATTTTCCCCCTGGCCAGAGAAAAATCTCTCTCAGGAGAGATTTGCACTTCGCTGGTAAAGCTCATCCTTCTGCATAGTACATAAAGAGTCTTGAAACTTGAGTCTCAGATTTTTTGAACGCTGTCTGTGGAGCCCTCCCTCACCTCTCGCCTCCCCGCTCCCCTGCTCTCCCTCTTCCCTCTCTCAAATCCCCTTCTCCCCTTTTCTTCTTCCTTCCCTGTCTTTTAATCCCTTTCTTCTTTTCCCCTTGGAATTTCCTTCAAGTTGTGCACTGATGAAGGTTGCCCTCTTCCACGAGCCCTGGGGTTCTGGGGTTCTACCCTCTTTAGTCCAAATATTGTTTTCTCCAGGAATCTCAGAAGAAACCAGAGAAAAGGCAGCTTCCAAGGCTTTTGCCTGTCAAAGCTGTAGACTCAGCACAACTACGTTTCTTTATACTCCTGAATACTCTTAAAAAATATTCTGCTGGTTGTGGTTGTGAGAAACTGTTTTAGTTTCATATAAAAAAATGAAAAAAAAGGATAAAAAATGCCATCTTTTTTTTTTCTAAGAAATGCAGGTCCTCTGACATTGTTCAAATCACAGGTAAGGATATGACCATTAGCTGCTTTGTAGATATGTTTTCAACTGGGACATATATGCAATATATTTTTGTTCTTTTCTTTCCCACTTTAAAGAACTCAAAAGCTCCCCCTTATGGCAAAACTGTTCTTTTTTTTTCCCCCTCCAAGTATTTAATAAGTCAAAATGAGTTAGCAGTGGTGGATTACAAATTATTAGTTCCCAGTCTGTTCAAATAATGCAGTGATAAGAATATGCTACTTGAGGCTTGCATGCGGATGGTATGTTGCAAGTCTGGGGTGAAATTAACTGACTTTCCTCCTCGTAAACCCTGTCCTCAGGGCTGCTCCAGACCCTTCCAGGCGCTGGGATCATTCCTGCACGCTTCGGGCAGAGTGAACACCAGTAGAGAATATTTGTTGGTGAAAGTATGCAGATTTGTAGAATGAGCAAATGACTCAGACATCCCCTCTATAAAAGCCGGAATGTGGTATGCAGGGATTATGGCGCCATTCTGAAAACAGGAGATCTAGATTCAGAGCTGCTTGGTTTGGGAAGAACTTGCTGTATAGTCTTAGGCCAAGAATGTTTGAACTCAGTTTCTCCAGTTGTAAAATAAAAGTGGTATTCTATCCTAAATGTGTTTCCAGAGACTGGCTGAAAGAAGAGGATCTTCGATGCACAATGCCGTGGATAAGGCATTTGCCCGAGCAAAGCTTTAACTTTTTGCGACTCCAAGTCATCTATAAAAGTCATGAAGTTGGCATTCATAACAACAACAACAATAGAAACCTGTGTTGAACTACACAAATTATATCTGACAAAATCCCCTTTTCCCTAATGGAGTGCGGAATGTGACTACTCTTTCACTTCAAAGTGGCACTTCAGCATTTGGAAACTGTATTTCTTGCAGAGATTTCTCAGTCACTGCATATACGAGTTTTAAATTCTCCTAGACCTGGTCCTCCCCTGTGGCGCAGTGGGTTGAGCGCAGCGCTGTGAGGCTGTCTACAGCCTCTGCAGCGTGGGTTCAATTCCTGGCCGACCAGGGAGATACCCACATAGCACGGCAGACCTCTCCTGTCTTGCCCGCTGCTCCCCTCAGCAGTGTTTTCAGTTGGTCTGCCTGTTCTGCTCCCCACTCTGTCTCTGGTGAATTCTCTCACCCTCCCGTGCCTCTGGCCTGTACCCGGTTCTTGTATAAGTAAATAAATCTTTAAAAAAAAATAAATTCTCCTAGACTTTTGGAACTTTGTAAACTCTCCCATGAAATGTCAGAACACGAGGGTTTAGTGCTAAGTCCCCACTTAATCCAACACTTGAAGCTATACCCTAAGTGACTTACTCATTTCACTGGCCCTCTACTTCCTTGCATTTAAAATGGGATATGTATTTTATAAATCAATTTTGAGGACAAAATACACATTGGGGTATAATACTTTGGAAACTATAAAAATGCTTTATAATTAACATTTATCCTATTTTTGTTATGGAGGACAAAATACTTCTTAACTTCTTAAAGACAAAATACTAGGAGGCTGAGTTGTATTTCTCTCCTGTCGCAGGTAGGAAGACAGAGACGGAGACTCATGTCTCAGCTTCTTGAGCTCCTTGACCTCAGTTCCTAAATGAATTGGGAGCGATTGGCAAAGCCTTCCACTGGTCTTTTCATTGAACATGTATTTATTACTCTATTCCACCTGTCTTGAAAGCTAGCCATGCTTTACTTTTACATATGTGTGATCTGTTTGCTTTTAATTGAGTAAATAAAACTGAATGAGTTATAACCCTTGGTTCTTGAACCACCTTAATCATTGGTCTATGTGCAATGGTCTTATTTATATGTCTTAAATAATACCTCATGTGCTGTATCCCTATTTTACTCCATCTCTTGATCTTTTGTGATCCGTCCCCTCTCCTTTCACCATTTGTGATAAAAGAGCAAGTGTCTGAGAACTAGGAGAACTGGATTCTAATTCTCATGTGGGTGAGATCTTTGACTTTCAGGGAAAATGAGTAGCAGTTGAAGATTTCTTAAATTATTTCCAAATTTGAAGGGAAGTGGAGCCCCCACTCCAAGAGTTTAGCAATTATTGCATCCAATCATTCCATATTTGCTCAGTTCCCTCGCACCTCCATGGAGTCTGTTTCTACACTCCTAGGATATACTCCCTCAAAATTTATTTCATTTGGTAATAACCAAAAGTAAGGTGTTTTGCCAGGGAAGGTGTAAGCGTTCCCTGAAAGCAAGGACAGTAACATCCCAGTGCAGCCCTACGGACTGAGAAGGCTGACGTGAGGATGGCCTCACGCACCAGTGTTGTTTCTCTGATCTTAGGAGAAGTGTTTCACTTCCTTGAGTCTCAGTGACTTTATCCTGGTGTTGTTTAGAAGCTCAAGTACCATATGACACACAGTAGGAGCTCAATAAATCTGTACCCTCCTTTCCTTTCCAGGGATCTAAGTGTATGACCCCCTGGACTTGCCTAAGCTCTTATCTAGACGGGAGCCCCACCTTTCTCCAAGTATACTCATCTCAGAATCCCCAGGCCAGCATTGTCCGTGTGGTGGAATCTGGAACTGGATTAGATAAGATCTTGCATTGTCCTTGGTATCCTGTTTAAGTAATTCCTCCAGTTCCTCAAGGGCAAGGATCTTCAAGGACCAGTTCTGTCATCACATTCCTCCCTCACCAACCTGAAGTGCTCCCTCCTCTGGGCTCTCATTGAACTTCCTCTGAATTTCCATGGGCATCTCCAGAGCCTACTATCACACTCAATGTCATATCTGCTCTCCTCCCCTGCCTGTTTGAGACAGGGGCTCTGTTGCACTCATATTTGTGTTTCCCCAATGTTTTGTTATACAGTAGCTAGATGGAAGGAGGTGAAGGGGTGTGAGGTGGGGAGGGGGTTAGAGAGAGACAAAAGAGGAGAGGAGAGGAGGGAAAAGGAGGGGAGGGGAGAGGAGAGTAAGGGAGGGGAGGGGAGAGGGGAGGGGAGAGGAGGGGAGGGGAGGGGAACTTACATATGTATCTATATATTTAGCTTCTTCAGGTATTCCTCTGATGCCGAGCACAGTGCCCAGGGCTATGAACATGTTAGGCTCTTGATAAATAATCTTTTCGTTCTTCCAGTTTCCCCTTTCCCAGATGATGCACTTGTGGATACTCTGACAGATGCACTCATTGGCTGCTCAAGTGAGGGTCACTAGAAAGAATATGGATGTTGGAGTAGAAGTCACTGGATTCAAATCCTATCTTTGCCAATAACAGTTAATAACTGTTCTAATAGCAGCTTCCATTTATTGAGAATTACATTTATTGAGAATGCACTATGTTCCAAGTAAAATTTAAATGCCTTTCACAGGAATAATCCCATCTAATCCTCATAACAAACCTACATAAGAGGTCCGTTGCTCATCCCATTTTATGGGAGAAAAGAAAAATGAATCACAGATGCTCAAGAGTAAAGAACCCGGCCAATCTAGATCAAGTGCTCTGTGATTTAGCTCCAGGGCCTAGAAAGAATCAATTAGTCTTTTG